CCCCCCTCCACGTCCAGGGCGGTGGTGTCGGACCCCGAGCCTCCCGGACTCGCCTCACCTGCCGCCGCTCTGCCCTGCCCCTCTCCGAGCCCCGACCGACGGGCTCCGCCGCGGCCCGGGCGGGCTCTGCGTCTTTCCCGTGCACGACCCCGGGGTGCGGGAGCGATGCTCATTCCCGGGGATGAGCAGCTACCGCAGGAGGTGAGCATCTTGTCTGAGGGCCTCCCTGCTCCCCAGCAGGACCCGCAGCCCCCACGGAATGGCTCGGGGGTTGCAGGTGGGGGTTTTGGTTATGGAAAGTCAAAATCCACGACATTCCGGTGACCTGAGCATACAGCAGCACGGTCTCAAGCACTGCAGGTCTCATGGGCATTGCTGAGGTGATTTTGCTTTAGCTTGGGACTGCCTGTTGGGAAATGGCAGGACACTGGGCTCCTGCTGGGATTTCCCAAGCTCCATGACCAGGCCTATACGGGGATCTGCCCAGAATGGGACCAGAAGACACCCGGCCTTTGCCGCTGTGGTGACCAACCCCCTCCCTCCCTCCTAGCAGCTCCAGGCCGGGTGATGTGCACCAACATGATGCCTGCACTGGCCTGCAGACCATAAAAGCATTAAGGCATCACTCACAAGAACTGCATGCCACAGAGAGTGCTTAACTCCAAAAAGAGGAAATTTCTCTGAAAAAGCAGTCAGCCCGTGGTTTGATTTTGGATCACAGCTGCAAGTAGCTGTGCATAGGTAAAGCAACCTTTCTCTATAAATGCTGATTTTAGGGCAGAGCTAGTTGAGGATCTCACTGGCACACTGACAGCCTCCTGGCCAGGGATGTTTGACTACATGACATTGCCCCAGTTGTCTTAATTGCCATAGTGAGCATTACCTGTACTGGTATCGTTCTACTGGAGCGTATCTGCTACAAAGAAGGGCTGAGAGACTTGGGGCTGCTCAGCCTGGAGAAGAAAAGCCTCCAGGGAAATTTTATAGCATCCTTGCAGTATTTGAAAGGGGCTACAGGAAAGCTGGGGAGGGGCTTTTCATTAGAGAAGTCAGTAACAGGACAAGGGGTAATGGTTTTAAACTGAAAGAGGAAGAAATACTTCACTATAAGGGTGGTGAGGTGCAGGAATAGGTTGCTCAGAGACGTTGATGCTCCCTGGAGGTTTTTAAGGCCAGGTTGGACAAGGGTTTGTACAACCAGGACTAGTGGTAGGGGTCCCTGCTCATAGCAGGGGGGTTGGAACTAAATAAGCTGTAAGCTCCCTTCCAATCTTAACAATTCTATGATTCTATCAAATTTTTGCATGGTCTTATCCAGAAATATCTGAATAAAGTTTGATCAAACGTAGCAACTGTTAGTTAATATCTAGATGCTTAATAAACATATATATATAGGTAATCCTGATGTTTGATTGTTTTAATCTTCTTTCCACTGGAACCCAGTGGGTACTTTTCCTTGATCTCCTGCTTTCAAACATCGTTCTGTTGACATTGGTTTGGCGTTGTATGTATACCCAGTTTTAAATAGCTGGACAGAAGAAGGGCAGCTGAATCTTGGTATTGCACTGAGGTTATAGCCATTTGTTCAGAAGATAACCCAGCCTCAGGAGCCTGAACCTTTACCAGGGCATAACCCCTCAGGGTACTCAGGCTATGAGAGCCCTTTGCAGAGGTGCTGGGTGAACCCCTTCTGCAGAGTCTCATCCTCGTTTTTGTGGGGTTTCTCTTTCTAATGTCCCCTTCCTCCCTTGTGGCTCTGTGCTGCAATTGCTGTCAAAAAGGGAGCTGGGAAGGACCCGGGGGCCCAGGTGTGCATCTTGCCATTGCAAGATGTCAAACCTCCTGTTGCAGGGAGATACAGAAATCTCTAGTCTAGGTCAACATCCCATGGCAGGCAGGGCACAAGCAGGATGGGTTACTGCAGAGCCCCTCTTTGGGTAGCTCATTCTCTGCCACTGTCCAGCCTGGGTGACATTGCACATGCAGGCATGGAAGGGAGGGACAGGGTGGGCTGTGCTGCACTGCAGAGACCTTGGGAACTTGCACCCATGGGTCCTCCTCAGCATGACAGCACAGGGCCAAAGCACAAATGGGTTGCAGCATAGCACAAGCTAAACTGCACACAGACACAGCTGGAGTGGGGAACAAACACAGCCAGGTCTGACTCCTGGAGGTTTATATGCCTTTTCAGTGGTTATGGCATGCTATAAAAATTAATTACCATAGCTCCATGCAATCCTCTACTGTAAAATATTGTCCAAAAGAAGGGATGTAATTACTATGATCAGCCTCAGACAGAGAGACCATGGTTGAAGATATAGCTGCTGATTGCACTTGGCTGGAGGTGAAGAGCAATCCTTCCAGTCCTTATTTCTTATCTGACCTCAGTGAAGTGCTCCAAAATACAGAGTGTGAGAAGGAATCACCAACTGCCTGGGGATTTTTTTTTTATTTTTTTTTTTTTCTCCAGGACATACACAAGAAGACAGTAAACACAACACTACTGACCTAGAATTGATCCAGGCTCCCACAGCTCTCAAGACCTCTTCCATAGTCAGCACAGCGCAGCTTTGTCTACAGACTTGTGTTTGAACATTTATGTACTTTGCACTAAATGTATTGGGCTAATTCTCCTGCCTACAGCCCCATTGTCCATCCTAACCTGTGTTTGCAATACAAAAGTAGTGAATACACCAGGGACAGCCAATATGCACAGGAAGCTTAGGGAGAAGGTAGGAATGCAGCCTTCTGAAACTTGTTTCAGATAGTCCCTTAGCTTCAATAGCCTGATTCTTTTTGTTATCCACATTATTTTTACTTTCTCTGTGTTCCAAACCTCTGTTATTTGTAGGACAAAACTGATGCCGTATTGCGTTAGGAAAGTTTCAGGCAGACAGTTTACAGGGTTTTATTGATGCAGCATTGACAGCATTGAAAGTTGCACCAGAATTAATTAGATTTACAGGAATAAGCCTTTAAGCTCTGATTGCACAGAAAAGTTTGAGTTACATTTAGAAATTAGGTTTTGCCAGACAATTTGGAATCTTTTGTCTACCCTGCGTCCAGGTGTCACAGCACAGGAGGTCTCACTTGCAGCCCAAAGAGTCAACTGCATCCTGGGCTGCATCAAAAGTGGAGTGGCCAGCAGGGCCAGGGAGGTGATTCTGCCCCTCTACTCTGCTCTGGTAAGACCCCACCTGGAGTGCTGGGTCCAGTTCTGGGGCCCTCAGCACAGGAAAGGTATAGATCTCTTGGGGAGAAAGTCCAGAGAAGGGCCACCAAGATGATCAAAGACCTGGAGCACCTCTGCTAGGAAGACAGGCTTAGAGAATTGGGGCTGTTCCGCCTAGAGAAGGCTCTGGGGAAATTTTATAGTGGCCTTCCAGTACTTGAAAGGGGCCTACAGGAGAACTGGGGAGAGGCTTTTCGTCAGAGAAAATAGTGATAGGACAAGGGATAATGGTTTTAAACTGAGAGAGGGGAGGTTCAGGTTAGATATGAGGAAGAAATTCTTCACTATAAGGGTGATGAAGAACTGGAATGGGTTGCCCAGAGAGGTTTTTTAAGGCTGGGTTGGACAAGGTTTTGTGCAACCTGGTCTAGTGGTAGGGTTCCCTGCTCATGGCAGGGGGATTGGAACTTGATGATATTTAAGGTCCCTTCTAACTTTAGTGATTCTATGATTCTATGAAGAGGGGAAGGGGTTTGTGGGGAGACATGGTTACACTGGAGATTTTTGAGAAATGAAGGCAAACAAACAAAATCTGAGATTCTTAAATTCTCATAATTAGTCAAATTGTAGACATGCCCAGAGATAAAAATATTCCTTCTTTTCTAGAAGCCTAATGGCACAGAGCACAGGAGAAGAAAAGGGTTTGAGGCACCATTGCTACTATATTGCAGCTACTCTTCAGAGGCTTTCATTTCCATAGAGGTTAGAGGCATTTATTGCACTGAGAGTCCTAACCTTGCACAGACATAGGGGGAGAGCAGGAGTGCAGCTGTGCAGAGCCAGGTGTGAGCCAGCCTGTCCCTGTGGGTGCCCACCTCTCCAGGGCTGCTCCTGCAGCTGCCCCCATGGGCTGCCAGACAGCAGGTGGCCAGTGCCCCATGGCAATGGGATGCTTCAGCTCTTTCTTTGAAACGACTGGGAATTCGGTCTCTGAAGGAAGATGGGGATGTTTTTGCTTTCCATGGCAGGGGAGCAGCTCCGTAAAAATAAAGCCAATTTCGAGGTGCTGGTCTGGTGTTTTCAGCCAGGCCAGGGAAATAGCTTGCCTCCTGTCTGTGAAAAAGAAGGATAAACAGAAACACCAAATCACTTTTGAGGGGAAATCTCCAGCTCATACACATTTAGTTCAGTCAGGTTCCCTTTAGTGCCAAGCATCCCTGCTGCCAGAAGTGAGGAGGGAATAACGTGAAAGAAGAACTCACTCTGAAATTATGGCTACAAAAATAAAAGCTTTAAAATCAGCCCTGGGTTCTTCCTCACTGTCCAGCAGTCCCTAGTTGCTTCACCAGCAGTTGCTGCCATGGCTGCTGGTATTTAGCACCTTACTCAGTGGCACTTTACAGATGTCCCCCAAAGCCAGAGCCACCCACCCAGAGCACAGGACTCTTGGCCACCTCCCACCTTTGACCCCCCATCAGAGCAGAGAGCTGTGACCAGCAAGGTGCATGTATCACAGCAGTCTGTCAGCCCCCCTTCCCCTTTCTCCCTCTTCCTCAAAGGATTTTGGAGGCTATTCCTTCTCCACAGTGGTGTGAGGATGCATATTAAAGACAAGCACAAAGGGACATCCCTGCAGGCTGCTTGCATAGCATCCAGTTGCCTAAATGGCCTAACACAGGTGTCATCTTCTTGAATTGATGCAGAATCTTGATCCAAAAAATTGCATCCCAAGCCTTCCCATCCTTCTCTCAGCATGAACACAAACCCTTCAGCATCACTCTCACTCTACATCTTTCTTACCCCAGACCTAAAGCACTGCACCTCCTGCACATTCCCAAAGGCATAGGTTACACCTATGAGCAGCCCTCTGATCCTCTGAAGACCACAGTGCCACAATAGGCCCTGACGCCCAACTTCCCACCTGGGAGCCCAGCACTTAAACCAACATGTTGCAGCATCAATGTAAGAATCCTAGTCATGGCACCAGATGCTGCCACACAAATAATCTGAATTTCTGTTTAGATCAGGTCAGAAATAAGATATGGCTATAGGAGAGGAGAGGGAGCAGCAGTGACAGCCTTTACTGATGTGGACTATTAAAAAAAAGGGAAATAACATATCAAAGTGCTTTAACTTTTCTTTTTGAGTATTAGCTTTATCCTTAAGATTTCAATGACTTCACCAAAACAATCCACTGCTCTCCTCCCATTCCAAACACACTCAAGATACGACAATTAACTGAAAAACAAGTGTGCAAGAAAAAGCTGGAGAAAGCCAAACTGAAATTTGGAGCAAACCAATCTTGCCGTATGGATACAATGCTCCCCCTTCACTGGAGCGGGTCACTGAGTGGGCACAGGAGTAAGGGCAGGAATATATTGTCTTTCAAAGCCCCTTGCTTGCAGTTTGCAGGGAACCAAGTAAATTACTCCCACAGGTTCACCATGAGTCCTCCCAGCCTCCTGAGCGATTGTGTGGTCATGAAGTGAAAGGTAGCCTGAAACTGGGCTGGGAGTAACACTTTTGGAGCAATGAACGAGCCTCCCCACCTCTCCTGCAGTATCTTCCCAGAAGCATCTCCTAAGGAGAAATCCCTGGGCACATTCAACTAGAGCAATGCCACCTCCCCAGCAGCTGTACAAGGATGGGGGGGATGTCAGTTTCCCCAGACTTCTCCTTCTTCATCCATCTCAGAGAGTGGTGGTTGAGTAGTTAATTTTGAGCATACTCAGTGTGAACTGAAGCATTTAAGGTTCTTGCTGCCCCCATGAATGAACCTGACCTCTGGCTCTCCAGTGGAAGGAGCCCTAGCCCAGGACTCTGTTGCCTGACTGTCAGAGCCCAGCCCAGTGCCCGGGGACTTGTGGTCCCTGCTCAGCCTGGGGGACGTGGCTGCTGCTTTCCCATGTGCAGGTTTGCTCAGTAGGAAAGCTGAACACAAATCCCAGAGACACACAGGGATATACCCAGAAGACACTGACACAGCTGGGGTTTTGGAGAGGAGTGTGCTAACAATGATCTGGAGCTGCTTTGGGGGCAGTGGAGCTTCCTCTGATAAATGTATTTGAGTCCCATTTTCACTCCTTCAGAGGAAACGAAGTCAAGTGAGAGGGAGCCAGTGTCATCTGGGTCCTCAGCCAGGCAGTACAAAGCTGAGACCTATCCATGGCTAATGGGATAGGAGAAGGGGTTTGGGCATCCCCGAGAAGACTTAATCCCCTCAAAACAATCAACTGCATGTTTTTCATCCCCGAGGCAACTATGCAGAACCAGTGACTGAAAGGAACAAATTAAGAGTCTTCATCTACCAGTGCTTTAGTATCAGTACCAGTGCTGCAGTGCTTCAGCACTACATCTCATACCCTTCTACAAATAAATGAGACACAACAGAAATACGTTGAAATCTCTAAAGCCATGTAAAACCCGAAGGCATTAAAATTTATTAAATGATGCAATAACAACAGAATTCTTTATTTACAATAGCATTATTTAACATCAAATAAGCAAACAGCATCAGCAAAGCAATATTAACTTGCATAAATGTATTTAAAATTTCTCTGAATATATCTACCTTTGCATAAACTGCTCACACTAGAAATACAAACATCAATGCAGGTGAACAAAGTGATGTTCAGAGTCAACTCCGTTTTGAAAATAAATCACAACCTGAAACACTGTAAGCTTTCTCCTGAAGAACCATAGTTTATATATTGCTTAATTTTACCCTTGTATAATCTTTTCATATACACACATCTCAGATGCAACTTCATGATGAACTGTACAAATAAAACCCACAAATGACAAAGGAAAAAAATTAAATGACAGTAAATGCTTGAAGAAATGTGTCCATCATCTCTATAGAACAACATAAAGATTAAGTGATGATGCACTTATTCCAAAATTGTACACAATTCACTATACAAATATAATACATCAGACAGCTATGTAGGAATATACAAGACTTAAAAACAGATCTAAGGCATTATGCTAGATTTTAGCATTTTGAGGTTCTTGCACATAGCTTTTACCTGTAGTAAGAAACTTAAAAGATTTTTAGTCTACAAAGAAACACCAGGGAGGAAATTCTAATTAAAATCAAAGCCACTACAGTAAATTTTCTTTTGTGCAGAGAATGCTTTTGCTCTTAGGCAGCATACTACCATACAAATACTAGAAAACTTTTAAATTCACACCAACAATTAATGGCTTAAGTTGCATTTCAAAACTGATTGTGTATCTTTGGGTTCTGCAAGTGGAGCTGTGCCACCCATTTCATCTGTTAAGCCCATATGAATTCCGCTTTTAAACAAAGATAAAAAAATGTATTGTATAAACTGCAAAAACATTGCTTTTAATTAATACAGGTCCAAAGGGATACTGGTGTGGGACAATATTTTAAAGATTGAGTACAAATTAATTCATTGTAGCAAAACAGCTCACTTCACTTTTTAAACTTACCACATTACATGAACACTTAAACAGGTCGTATGACCATGTATATATGCTTATTTTTCACATTATGCACCTTTCACATTTAGTAATGTAAGTAGAACACTGATTGTTATGTTAAACAAAACCCAAGTACTGTCGCTGACAAATTTACTGTATAGAGGATGAAAAATACTGATAATGAAGGGAATTGATTTGGCTTTTTTGTTTCTATAGTGATCAATATGATCAGAAGATTCCTTCACTCACTTTTCTCTTTCATTAGTTAGAAGACGACTAAAGTCACAATGAACCCAAACTGAGCCAAAGTGATAGGTACAATCTCCTTCCTTTCAAAATGGCAATGGATGATGAAGCATCGTAATTACTACAGATGACAAGGGTTTGCACATTTGTCATGAAACGGGACAAAATTGAACTACTTCGTCCACTGTGAAAAAGAATAATCATTTGCAGAGGTTACGGTTAAGAACTGAAAAATAATGGAATAGATGTAAAATGATTTTAAAACTCATTTACACTTCATGGTGCATGAAGTTAATTTCTTCAAATTTATACATTTCTTATATAAGTTGGTTTTTTTTTTGGTCAGATATATGATGCAAGTTCAACACAACTGTCATTGTAGTAATGAGGCTGTGGAGCACTCAGGGCTGACAGTTATTTTGGTCTCCTATCAGATGGTAAGGTGATGGCTCAGCTGACTATTCTGTTTGTGTTTGGTAACAGAACAGTGACAGCTGAGAAATGTTTCTCCAGAACGGTGGTACTGCCCTCCTTAAGGGCAAACACAACTGAACATTTCCTGGGCTTTCACCAGAAGCCTTCTACAGGAACAGTCTATTTCAAACCACCTTTATTACATTTTCCTCAGCCTTAGTATAGAATAGCTGCTATTTAATTGAAACTCCTACCTGAAAACCAAACCAAATTAAATGGCAACAGAATAAACCTTTTACTCCCAACAGGCATGGCTGAGGAAATATTATAAAATGCACTGCATTTTACAGGACATTAAAAAAATTGCATTCAGGTAAGAAAGTCTATAGATTGGGGGTCAGCAGAAGGAAAACAGGTGAAACTCATCAATTTCTTAGTATTTCAAGTCATCAGAAACTGATGTCAGTTTAGTAAAAGATTATTCCAACCACAGTGGGCAAGGAAAACCCTCCACCCCCTAACAGTGGCCTGCTTAGTAACAGTTTTGTTACGAAAGGATATAAACATACAAAAATCAAGAATTGGTTCCTACAGTGGCTGCATATAATAGAGGTTAATTAAATGATATTATGAGCAGAATCACAAGGTTTAGAAAATGAGAAGTCTCAAGCCTACAAATTAGGTCTAATCAAGGCATTGTGATCCTTTACAAAACACTTTTCCAGGAGACACACACGGCTAAGAAGATATCTAATTTAATACTGAAGTACCTCATTTGTAATCAACTTCACAACATGTATATCTCACAAAAATTATACAAGTAAAACACTTAGGTTTTCAACTTAAATTATTGCTTGTTTACATATAAACTGGATTTTATGTACCTTACAAAACGTCCTTGTAGTCCACACTGCTTCAAAATAATGAGAAACACACGATAGCGGTGAAGTCTGTAGTGATATCTGCTATAGGTATTACAGGAATTGTTATTTTCCCAGATAAGGGGATGGGAACCAGAAATTATCATGCTTTAAAGCAGGTATGTTGAGCTCTTTGATATTATGCACCAATTCTGCCACTACCATAATCAGTACATGCATTACCATCCAACTTTGCTGTTCAGCATCCAGTAACTGGCCATCTAGATTGCCAGAAACACATTTAGGGAAATAAAGGAGTAACCTGGTCTTTTACTCTATTAGAAAGAAGATGACAGCAGTCACGAGAGCCAGGTAAAAAAATAATAAAGCAGGATTTGCTGATTGTTAGGCATTTAATTAAGTAACAATGTCACCAACTTGTATTTTTGGATTAATGACTTGCATTATAAACGTAGCCACAAAGCCCAACCAAACACCCCTTATAAACAGCCCTCTCACAGGGTCGTTTTAATCTGTTTTACAACTTAAACCCCATTCAAAATTGGTCTGTAGAGTTTTCTACATCGGTTCGTCTTCTCTCACTCGTTGTCAGTGGAACACGCCCGTTAGAGGTCTCTAAATGTACCAGGGTGCTTCTACACCCTCCTCCCCGCCTTCTCTCCGCCCCAAAATGCAGGCCTTAGTCTAAACCACCAGTTTTCAGACCGAACTGAATCCTTTGCACCAGGGAAAACAAAAGCAAACAAACAAACAAACCCCAAGGTCTAGAACTAAACAGAAACAGACAAGAGCATGGTTGTTTTTCCTTAAATACATACATTTAAATACATTCAATCTGACATGGTTTATGAAGGTTGCCTGTCAAACATTTACTTTGCAGGAGAGATCTAAGTTGCACTAAGGTGAATGCAGTGAACAGACTGAGCAACTGTCTGTACGGCAGCTTCAGACTGTCAGAGAAGAGGCTGCTCCTCGGCCCCGACCACCCGGCTCCCCTCGGGAGGCAGGGCTGAAGCCTGTCGGCAGCAGGCAGCTCAGCTGGGTCACGACAAAACAGACGCAGCTCTTCAAACCGGGAAGGATTTGGGGCCGTAAGCCCCAGTCAGCTGAAGAAAGAAGAAACCGAACCACCCTCAGGGTCAGCAATATTTCTGCAGAAAAAAAAGAAAAAAAAAGAAGTTGGAGAGACAACTGAATTCCTCCTTCTGCGAGAGTGAAGATGGACAGGTGAGTGAGAGCTGGATGCTGGGCTGTGGCATCCTCCATCGATCACACATTTGGGTACTATTTTAAACTGGGGCATTAACTTGAATTGATAAAGCTAGACTTTTCTTTGTGTTCACTGATACACTTGACCTGTGATTTAATTCCAGTGATATCAGTGGGGGGTTAATTTCACTGCATTCTTAGGTCCTTAATTCATTCCAATTATTATGGACATTGTAACAATTCGGGATCATCTGCCTCTTGTAGACTCTGACTAAAAGCACAGCAGTATGTTTTAACAGACGTCTCATACTTGGAGTAAGTGCAAAACCTCCCTGTGTTACTGCTCTGTCACACCCAAGAATCATGAGAAAAAAAGGTCTAAAAAAGTGAAAAAAGCTTCAGCTAACAATCCCTAGAGATAGTCTTTACTTCATACTTAATACTCTTGAAGTATCTTTAGGCAGAGTACAAGCTGTTTTCAGCCGAGTTGATTGTCTTGTACATTCTAATTTAAAAAAACCCTCAGGATGTGGTTTCCACAGTTGTTTTAAGACCGTCCCTTCCAGTGGCTCAATCTGTGCCTCTCTCCCTTCCTCCCCATGCAAACTGCTGCACCCACAGGGTGCTGTGGTCAGTCAGGTCAGAGCGCCAATCCAGCCAAACCCAGTTTTTTCCTCCCCTGGGGCTGCTTTTCACTTGTGCCCAAAGGAGCCCTTTGCTCACAGCCTCCTGTGCTGCACAGGGGAGGCTCAGGGGCAGCCTCCTTGCCTGGAAGCTGCCTACACCGCGGCTTGGGCTTTGCCACAATTTCCCCTGCAATCACAGAAAGCCTTGAAGCGTATCGTTGATATGTATTGTTTATTTAGTTCAATCTTTCTAATTTCTAATGACAAGGAGACGACAGGAAACGAGGGGGCTGGACCTCCAGCAGGTTCTGAAGTGACTCCCATCGGAGTAACAGCTCGGCGCTGCCCGCTTGGCTCCCCAGAGGGAGCCCAGGCACGGGGCAGTCCCAGGCACGGGGCAGTCCCAGGCACGGGGCAGTCCCAGGCCGTGCCCCCCCTCCCGCCCAGAGGCGCAGCCGAGGGGCAGGAGCAGGGATGGGGGGGG